AATTAAAAATATTAATAGAATTATTGATTTAATTGATAATAAGGGCAACTTTCACATCTGGAATTACTGGCAAACAAAGGGATTATCAACTTTAGATTATTTACATATTCAGGGATTAATTTCAGCAATACCGAAAAAGTGGAAAATTCAAATTCATAATAACGGTCACAAGTGGTTTGAACCAGAAAATGTAATTTATTTTAATTCATCATTTATACATATAAATTCATTAACAAGTAAACTAGTATATAAGCATATGTGTAATAATATAATGGAACCTCCTACAATTAAATCTAGGTTGGAGGAACTGTATAATGTATCTCCAGTAATTATTAAAAAAAAATTCAGTCTACCTTACACCTCTACAATTTCAACAGATCTTAGAGCTTTTCAGTTTCAAATTATTCATAGATATACTCCAACGTTTTCAAAACTTTTTGAATGGAAGCGGCTAGTAGCCTCCCCTCTCTGTGCTATGTGCCATACAGAAATTGAAACCATAGAGCATTTGTTTGTGGAATGCCACTGTGTACAGTCATTGTGGGAAAAACTGCAGCAAAACTGTAATTTAATATCAAATACAAATTGTAATGTACAAAATATTATATTAGGCATGAGGTGAAAAATATTATGTTGAATCATTTTATTCTATTGTTTAAAAAATACATATACAAATGTAGGGGAGAAGCGAAAATCTTATCATTCTTTGGTTTCAAGGCATACATAAAAGACCATGAACATATAGAACATCAACTTGCTTTAAATAGAGACAAAATATTATATCATTATCAGAAATGGGAGCCAGTTATGATTTGGATTAACGGATAGCCACTCATTCAAGCCAGCAGTCATCATTGCTCTATTTTTTTAATACCAAGGAAGCGAACTGGTTAAAATGTTTTTTATTTTTTGTAATTGTAAACAATTTCTTTTTGGCTATTAAAATAGTACAAACAAAACATGACAGCTGGCTTTGAAGGGTACAAAATAGAAAACACCACATTAGCCCACATCTCATTCTTGTTTTCTTTTCTGTTTTTTTTTTTTTTTTGGTGTATGTATGCTTTTGTTACTGTATATTGTTATGTTGTGTGAAAAATAAAAAATAAAATAAACGCAAAAAAAAAAAAAAAAAAAAAATTACTGCACACCATTTCCTTGATTAAGTTCAGGTTACGATGTCACACGCACGTCACGACACTCGTGATAATAACCCCATGATAACAATGTACCAACTGAATGTCCGCTTCATAAAACGGATGAGTACTATCTCGATCGTATTACCAACGACTAGTATATCAGCAGCACCATTAGATCTGATCTGTCCTTCTAACGCGTTTCCAACTTGAATTTTATTTTGTTGTCTAATCTCTTTTCTCTGTGCGTGAAGAAAAGGGCACCCAAACGTGTTTCAATCAACACAATGACGAGAGCGGATATTTTGCATTGATAGTTAGTCTAAACACGTGATATAATATTAGGTCATATTGCTCCTTTCCTATAAATCACGCCCTCTAGTGTCTGGCATCGCCTTTACCAATATACAAGTATGACCGTTGTGTCGTCACAGAAAGCGCTGTCCCAGCACAGACGTAGAAGACGCCGACCTGCAGCGTCAATGCCAGTATGACATTTTGACGTTATATAGACTTCCTGTCACTCGGGCGCGATTTGTTGGAGTTTTTGTATTGAGGTTCATATTACGAGTACCCTTTTTCAGATTTTCAAACAGCCAGTCACACTGGCAGAAACAGCATAAAATAAAGTGTGGTCACGAAAATCTGTCGATAATAGTAATGTCAATTTGGCATTTTGTTAACTCATCCTGCCGACAGTACTGGCGTTAGATAAATACTCATGGAGCCATGGTTCTAGCTTTTGCCAAGTCGCCTCAAGGTGGCACTGTCACCGAGAATCGGATAGTAAGGTGGTCACCTTGTACATGTACGTGTATTATTGCAGAGTACAACATTAGTATCGCAGTTAAACTCGGGCTGCTGGGTGGCCATTGTCAACAGACTTTGAAAATTAAAAAAATATTTGTTAATGGTGAGATTATGTTGACATTACCTACTACTTAAAATTAAATTAAATCAGCCAGTGTACTATGTATGTAACACCTCTCACAACACTCCCTCCCTTCCTCGTGGACCTATACCAAGTCTTACACGTTTTCTCTAGAACCTATTCCCGATTTTACTGCGATTTTTAAAAATTTTGACAAGATTTTAAGTCAGATATTTGTTTTCGAATTTGAGCCATTGAACTTGTCTGTGAAGAGCTGTATTTTCCAGAATAGAACGAGTAGAAGAATATAGAGGGCGGATGACTGAGCTTTGGTCAAAGAAACCTGGGTAAGAAACGAGTCCGACATTTAACATTGCCGAGCACTGATTGTTATGTAGCAGTATAGTATTTTTTTCCCCGTGTCTAGTGTTAGAGATACATTGTGTTGAAGGGCGGTGGTCGTCGCTCCGCGCATGTGCGGCATTTGTGTTGATAAACATTGATTTTCCCATAATCCAGCTGAATGCGCTCTTGAATGTGAAATCACGAGTATGAATGTTGACATGGACGCGACATGAACTAATTACTACCGGTGAATCCTTCGATAACCTCCAATACCCCCCCCCAAAAAAAAAACACCTAGCTAAAGCTTGGTAACCTCTCAGTTGGTACTCACTGGTCTTCGCAACTGCCAAAGTCGCCATCTTTGTATATAAGACAAGATAAGATAAATTTTATATATGTATGGGTATATATGAGACCCATACCTCGCGCATGCGTAGCGCGACGAACGCGTCTTTTAAAATACAAACAAAATTATTAATAGGATTTTACAGTGCATCGATTTAGAGAATTCGTTTTTATCTGTCATGTGTGTGTATCTTTTATGGGAATTTGTATAAGCTTTAGACTGAATGTAGCACGGTTAGGTAATTTACAGAGATGCCTTCATACCAGAGCCCCCCCCCCCCACACACACACACTCTGAACAACAGCATTTATTATTCGATCAATAATTTTTCGTTTTTTTTTTTTTTAAATTCCATTACCGTTTTGGCATATTGTTATTTCGTTTTTTCCCTGACTTCATAAGCGCTATGCATAATCAGGGCACCTTATATAATACATTCTCATATAATACATTCTTTACTTTTTATAAAATTGAAAGGGTGGCAGTCGTCGTGCCGCGTCCTGTTCGATATGGGACTCATAGCGACGTATACAACGCGTGTAAAATACATTGTTTATTTACATGAAATTCGAGCCCGCGCTGTGCGACGACCACCGCGCTTTAATCTACACAACTCATATTTCTTTAGTGGGTGATAAGACTGGAGATGGTGCCATGAATGGTGTTCAGTTTAGTTTGTGTTATGTGCAATTTGGAATAGTTTTTTGTATGTTTTTGAATGAAATGTATCTTTATTTGCTCCATATTTTATCTGGAAAATTACGATTACATATTACTATTTTACATTCAGTCACGGTACTGACGACGAAATTAAGACAAACAAAAGCACTACAGTTGCTTACCAAAGAGGGCGGTCTCACACAGCTAACCCAAGATGGCCGACGTGAAGCTGAATGCAGACTAGCAACAAGAAAACAATAACATATTGGACTAGAACACCGCGACTTTAGTATTGGAAAGTGACTGACGACAAAGTTATATATTCCTGCCTCAAATTGACTGGATAAAATTATTATTATCGGTTTTATTTTTGTAAACGGTCACAATCTATCAACTTTGGCATTTGACTCGCCTGATTGAATTTGATCTGTTCATTGTTGATCGCGGTTGTGACATTGATCAGTTTTCAATTTGGATTTGTGTACCCCCGTGTAACGGACATGGCGGATTACTATAGCTCATTCTCCGAAGAAGACGAAGATTTAAAAATAGCAGATCTGGGAATGCCAATTGTCGATATTCCTACGGCCACAGAAGAAAATGGACATGAAACGCGAAGACTACATGAGAGGTTTGTAGAGTATTCAAAAAAAATGTTTGTTGCGTGTACCCCAGGGGTGGGGCAGTGTAGCGGTTGTGCACAAATATTGTATGTTTTTGATCCCCGCAAATTCATGTACCTGAAATGCTAATAAATAATGTACTCAAGAATACAACATTTTCTCAAGGTGAATATTTCATAGGGATCTTTAAGACCATGAGTCGACACACACAGCATAAGTTTGTCGCGAAAACTTATATCGCCAAAAATAATAAACTACTACAGTTTGCTTCCATACAGTCATTCATACAGTCATTCTCTATGAACTTTCGGTAAGAGTTTCTCAGAGTCCCCTCACCCATAATTCTAATCCTAACCCTTCCCCTCCAGTGCTCTTCCCGAATTTCAAATGTAGTATACCGGTAGTATAGTATAGTATAGTATAGTATATTTTATTTGACACAAAATAATGCATGGAAAATACATCATCTATGGAAGGTTACTAGTAAGGGACGACGTCAAAAGATCGATGTCGGATAAAAAACTTAATTCCTTTAGTTTTTTTCCAAACCCCCCTACCCCCCACTGAAACTTAATCGATAAATATTGGTCATGACGTCAGACTACATTCACCATTAAATACAAATTGATAATCGGACAGTAGTATTGCATAGCAGTTGGTTGTCGGGTGGGTGTAAAAAGATTTTACATTTGACGCACAGATTTACACTCGAACCAAACCATTTTTCTGTTGTTATTTTCTTTCTCGGTTATTTCTGTCCATGATTGGATAGAAAAAAAACGAACTACAAATACTCCAAGATTTTTTTGACTTCATTAAAAAATAAAATCGTTTTTGTAGGATGGAAACTTTTTGAGGTCAAAACCCCCCACCCCCAAACTAAAGGAATTATTATTAAAGTTTTTTATATCCGACATCGATCTTTTGACGTCGTCCCTAACCGTGTCTATGGCCAATATACATTACTTTATAAACAAACAAATAACAAATACACAAATTGTATATATACCCCCTCTTTGGGTCACTCATAGTTATTTGGTGGGGCATATTGGGGCTAAAGAGTTAAGGTTCAGGGGTGAGGGGGATTAGGGTGAGGGGGTGAGGGGGAACTCTATCTGAACTTTCATCCATGAAATATAGTACTAGTAACAAATGTTGTCTGATTTCAGTACTGATGAATTCACATCCGACGAAGAAGAGATGACTTCTACAAGAAATAAATTGACAGGAAAAAGAAAGAAACACCAAAAACCGAACATGACACCGCCTGAAGTGCAGTTGGAATCTACAGAGAAGAGAGCAAAAAAATATATGAAAAAAAAACACGTAAGTCATGCACCAATCAAAATTAGCATCTAATTTGCATAATGTGATCCTCTTGCCAAGTGAAAAAACAAGTTTTTGCTAAGAAACATAAAATCGCATCAGGCGCAATGATTAAAACTACATGTATTAGTATTGCCTTGTGGGACTAATGTTACAGGATATGCATGGCTTTGAGAATTCTGTCAATCCCATTTTTGAGGACACACTGCTATACATTGCGTGATTCTTCATGCGATGGATATTATGAGTAAAGAAAGTCAACACAATACGGTAATAGAGATCAGCTGAAGTTTTCAACTCTTATCTATTTCCTAATGATTATATACTTTCATTTTACTTATAGGTTGACAGAGCCATGGTTAATTTGATACAGTGTGTCGCCTTGTCCAGAATAGTGTATGGAGATGGTCATTGGAGATTAGCCGAAAGTCATGCTAATTTAGCACATGGTTATCTACTGTTACGAGGTGAGTATAGAATTAGCTGAGAATCATGCTAATTTAGAACTTGGATATCTGTTTCCAGCCATATTCAGTGTGAATATAAAAAATAACATTCCAATCTCCAATTGTTTTGTTCTTCATTTCTATTTCAATCTACATTTCATTCCTGCTGTATTTTGCAGATTTACCAAACCAGGCCTATCACCATGCTGATATTGCAAAGGCCATTTTATTAAGCGGTGTACATACATCTAATTCAGCTGACGAAAAATCAGCGTTACTGTACGTGCTAATCAAGGTCTACTACGTGCTCGGCAGATCACTGACTATGCAGAAAAAATATCTTTTGAACATGTACCTATGTCTGGTGATGAAAATAATCACGGTAAATCAGAACACACACACAAATGAATTTCCTTTTTGATTGAAACATCAACTTGCAGTTTTTTTGTTTCATATTTGTAAATGAATTCTTAATTAAATACAATTAGGAAAAAAGTTTCTGGTAAAAATTTTTTTTTTATTTTTAAATTATCATGAAACCTGTTCTTATAGTTTGTTTTCTCATAGAAACTTATTTTTTAAATTCGGACAGAAACATTAAAAAGGAAGCTGTTAAACACAAGTATTTTAATCTGGGCCTAATTAAATTTATTTTTAATGAGAAGAAAAACAAGTAAGTCATGATGAAATAACTTCTATTGTTGCCATGGTTACACATTCCTTAACGATTCTTACATTCACCGAAGCTGAGCAGAATTTACAAAAAGCTGAAAAAATCTCTGATGAAAGAAGCAGACTCCCAGGTATTGATGAATATGAGCAAGCAGATATCAATATTAAAATTTCAATAGCACTCGGCAAGTAAGTGATGTATTCATAATTTATATCATAATTTATATCAAAGTCATATTGAAATAATATGAGGGGAGTATCAACCGACGTGCAGCGAAGGTTGATGTGACCATGTACTGTCTTCGTGCATACTTTGTAATTGTACTTGTAATAACTATTATTATACATCTTTTCCTCCCAGGGATACATCATGGGATTGCCAAAATCCAAAACAGATTTAGCAAACTTCTTTGTGTGGCGTCTGGTCAAACCTTGGGGGCAGCCATGTTTGTTTTCATTATTAGAGGACACTTACGCGCATAATCGTTTCATATTTGGAATTCGCCTTTCCTAATATGGTAGGATGAAAAAAACCAGTGCATTACGGCACACTGTAACTTATGGCGTATAATAATAAATAATAATATTATTTCGATCATATCAACCAACATGTACTGACGATGTGATCCTGTATGGTGTCTACTTTGCAATATTGTCATAGTCCCTAGTATACATCGCTTTATTGTATAATGAGAGATAACAGCCCAAAGTTCCAAAGAGAAAAGTTTTGCGGTGTGTGAACGGTTTTGTTAGTGCTTCATTGGTAAACCAACTTATTATGGAGAACTAAATTGTATTGTTTTTGGTGCAAAATGCATTTTTAAACAAATGTCAGCGATGATATTCTCGCTGAAATCATGTTTATTTCAGACCACAACATTCCCAAAGAGTCTAAACAGATATCTGAGTCCAAATTCTATAATTTGAATGCACACTGTTATCGTAAAATAGTAATTAGCCACTTGTGTTTCACCACGCTTTCCTCAGACGTGTGAAATGTCCACAACAAAGATGAAAAGTGTGATGTCAGTTAGTGGTTGATAATAGAAATCAGCATACAGACTATTGTGTACTGAGCTATAACCAAGATATATCATTATTTTGTCATCATGTTTACTTGCCAGGGTTTGCATCAGCCAGAGTAAGACTGCGTTTGGCACCAGCTGTTTTGAAAAAGCAATTAAATTAATACAACGTAATTATGGTAAAGATAATGTAGAGCTCATACCTGTATACCAAGATCTCGGCAGAATATCCTTTTTATGTATGTTAATATATGCGAGATGTGGAATATTTGGGTGGTGTAGCCTTGTAGATATTTAAATGGTTGTTTTATCTCACACCACACACACCTAAACAATATGTGTACACTTGCTACATATCCATATGTATGTTATATTTTTATTTTATCACATTATTTTTAAAAACATGATGTTCTAAATCTCTGATTTCTATGTAGAAATGAATTGTTACCCATGATGCATTGCTTTAATACTCTGAAATGTTATTTTTAAACCTTTAAGTTCCACCAAAATTTTGGTGCAAGATCTTGCAAAATTTTCTGTATTTTTCTATAATTTCTTCTTTACTTTTGAACCCAATAGACATAATTTCCAATCAGCTGCAAGTCTGTTTGTCAATTAGCGCATATTTGTACCATTATCTGAGAGTTTAATTATGAACATTATATACAATCTGATTAAATCTGATTTTATTTTTTTCTAAATACTGTAAAGGGGTTAATTATTCACTGGGTTTTAATTTTGCTTATTTCGCTGAATGGAAAATGCGCTAAATTAAAACCCAGTGAATACGTCAAATTTAGCATAGCACATATTATCTAAATGACAAAACCGTGAATTTAAAACCCACTGAATAGGCCTGAAATGATAAATCAGCGAAAATTTAAATGTATTATTATCTATTTGCTGTTAGGCTTTCAAAATTACCAAAACTTTAAAAAAAAAACTATGTGGCAGTAGTTAAAATAATAAAATATAATATGTACATGATCCAAAATGAAAAAAAAATAAAAATAAAATATTTGAAATAAAAAAAAAAGACAACATACAATACATCTGATTTTAAGCAAATTGACATTATGTTTTGTGACTGACATGTTTTTTTTGGTATTTATTTATTTTTTGAGTCACTTCAAGCATGCTTTAAGTAAAATACATTTCTAGTACTGCTCAAAAAGATCAATATTCATCAAAACATAACATTTACAAAGAAATAACTGACATGTTTGATTTGGTCATGGTCAGTACTCCTCACAATTAGTTCATGTTTCCTATTGACTTTCCTTAACTATACATAATTGGAGCTAAGTAAAGGCAAACATGCGAACCATGAGAGAGCGTTAGAGATGTACTTACAAGCGCATTCAATAGCCTCTGCCGGGTGAGTATGCTGATATGAAAAGATGCAATAAAGTTATGCATATGAGATTCAAAAGATCTGTTTCTATGGTTACATCAGTTTTATTTTTAGTAAGATACCAAAAACGTGACACTATTTTACGGAATTTGAAAAGATAAAATTTTACGAAAGTTATTATGACTTGTACTTTGTGACACAATTTCAGGCTTTTTTCTTATACATGTTAGCAAAATTCATGAAAATTTGATTACAGTATACGATGGGTGCCATGCTATATTTATTTGATATATCTATATGAAATGATCCGGGGGGGGG